TCGTACCATTGCCTGCCCCGCTCGGCCTCGAGGGGCATCATCAAAAGGCAGAACCGCAGCAAAAAAAAATGGAGAAGGAGGAGCGGGCAGAGGAAGGGGAGCCGCGGGCCTGATCCGGCGCCGCTGCCGGCTCCCCCCCCAGGCTTCCCCGCGCGGAGCTGCCGCCGCCCGCGCCCGGATCGGGATCGGGATCGGGACCGCGGCAGAGAAGAAGGGCGAGAGCCGCCCGCATTTTCCCTTGTTTTTTTCCTCCCTTCCCTTGTTTTGTCATGCAGATGTCTCCCCCGTGCGCTCCGGCGGCGAGGCGGCGGCGGAAAGGACGGAGCGGCCTCCCCAGCCCCGCGTTTTATTCTCCTGGTTTGCATTTCGCAAGGAGCGAGCAGAGAGCGAGAGCGAGCGAGCCCCGGCGCCTGCTGCAAAGGGCCGCAAAGCTCCTGCTCCTTCTCCTCCCTCGCAAAGCCCCGCCGCGGCCGCCTTTCGCACCCGGCTGCCCGAAGGGAATTTGCAGGCAATCGTGGGGTTTGGGGGTTGTTTTTCCCGGTGCTGCCCAACATTTCCGAGGCGGGTTTGGGCCGCAGTTTGCCGGAGCCATTAACAGCAGCAACAACAACAAAAAAGCCCCGTCTCATTTCTTTCCTTTTCCAGGAGATCCGCGTGGCTCCTTCCAACATGTCCCCTCTCTTTTCTTTCTCCCTCTTGATTTCATTTTTACTATTATTCATTTTCAACCCAGGTGTCCTCCAACCCACCCCCAACGCTCAGACGTGGGGAAAAAAACAAACTCACATCTGTAGCCAAGGATCTTCGGGTAAATGTGAGGTATTTTATTAGACCAGCGAAAGAGTTGGGAAAAAAATATCACATTTACCCAAAGATCCCGGTCTGCCTCTGTCCTCGGAGCAACACGCCTCAAAAACATCAGTCATTTTGAGACCCCCGAAAAAAGCTGTAATTTTGACACCCCCCAAAAAGCATCTGTAATTTTGACAGCCCGAAAACACATCTGTAATTTTTTTGTACATCTGTAAAACATTTTTACAGATGTTTTTAACCCCGGGGAAAAAAAAATCTGAGCGAGCAGCGGCGGCCGGGGGAAAAACACCCCGGATTGAAAGGGAATAAAATGAAATCCTAATTATTAAAAAAATAAAATCACAGAAGGAATAAAATTCAATCGTATTCATTAAAAAAAAAAACCCACACACAGACACGCAAATAAAGGCAGAGAAAAAAAATCGCACGCATCTCCCCGCTGCCCTTGAGAGGGAGGAAAATGAGAACCGCTGGGTCCTTTCCCCCCGCAAAAGTTGTGGCTCGGGGGGTGGGGAAAAAACAACAATTTAATGTTACAAGCGGGGATTTTATTTTATTAATTCGGGGGATATAAAAAAAAGCAGCAGCAGCAGCAGCAGCAGCAGCAGCGGGCGGTCAGTGAAGGCCGGAGGAGCCCGGAGAGAAAGAGAAGGGCGAGCTACTTACTGGAGGGCGGCTCCGGGCGCCTTGCGCGGGGGGCCGCGCAGCGCCCGCGGCTGCGGAGGGGGAGCCGCGCGGAG